AACAAGCTATAGCTGAAGGAGCTACCAACGCTGAATGGATGCAGCATATACCTTTACTTTTATGCAGTTTAATAAAGTGTAATAAAGGTTCGAATATCTGATTAAAGATTGCTAACTATTATGCATGGGACTGCTCCAAACGCTCGTGATCACTAAAATATATATACATGTATAAAAAAAGAGAGGCTTTGCATTTTAACATTACCTTATCTGAGCCAGCTTTAGCAACAGGTGGAGTATTTTTCTCAGGCTGAACAACAACAGTAACTTTGGATGAAGCTGTCTGTCCGCCAGTGTCAGTYACCTTCAATATGAAGGTATAGTCACCAACCACCATGTTAGAGACCTTTAGAATGGGAGAGTTGGTCCCTTGCATATCACCCACTGCKGGACTACTTGGTGCTTTGCTCCATTCGTAACTGACTATTCCCTGTAAATGGAGCACAAGTTTGTAAAATAGGATATGGAGGTTATGCGATGTGCAGGTTTTGATGTGCAGCATTACAGCAGTTTTCAATGGAGCACAAACTCTGTTGGTGCTACATGTAGCTGCCCAATGAAACTTTCAATTTTTGCTTCTACCGATTAAAAGTCAGTAATCAGTCACTACCTTATAATTTTTGACTGGCATAATAAGTTACATAAGTTATAAAAATCATTTTCCAACAGGCAGCACACAACTGAAATTAAATATTGTGCAAAAATCAAAAATACCCAAAATGACATTTATGACAGGTTTTATCCAGGTAAAACCTTGTATTTGTATTACCATYGATTTCATTTTTATCTGCCCGTCTTGCATATCGTACTTTGCACTTGGCTTTCAGACATCAAAAAAGCCACAATTGGTATGTTTATATTTATGATTGATGGAAATTTGTGTCTACTGTAATTAAACTAACCAATACTATATACTCCTCCCTCCACCTGCTCTGATTCAAAAATAGTTCCTTACCTTGTCRTCAGTGCTGCCATTCCCATGCAAAGTGAGATGGTTGATAGGCATTGTAAGTATTTCATCATCACCAGCTCTTGCTACTGGGGGATAGTCTTTTTCTGTTTATAAAAAGAATTATAAAATAACTGTTATGAATCTCTCGTTCTGGTTGGTTGGGAGCGAGTGCTGATGAGAGCACTCCTATCTAAAATAATGGTTATTGTAATTTGTATTTTATAAAAGAAATAAAAATCTTGCTTGCTGTGCTGTGTGGAGTTATAAAACACTCTGTGATTGACAGAACACTCGAGAAGTGCCGAGAAGCACTCCACTACGCGTCGTGCTTCTCCTGACACTTCTCTCGTGTTCTGCCAACCCCCCATGCTTTATAACTGCACACAGCATGCGCACACGTTTTCTATTTCTTCMTTACACAGTGTAAAGTTGGATGCAATGCGTTACCGGTAGTTAAAGTGTATGACTTACCATTGTTGACAGTCACTGTTGCAGTGGTGGAGTCTTTTTCACCATCAGAGTCAACAACTGTCAGTCTGTTGTARAGAAAGAAAATAAAATATAAAAAAGGATTATAAAATATGCCACCCCCAACGGCTAAAGAAGTATGGAAGAT